TTCCCCTGGCGCAGCTTGAGGCCATTTCCTCTTGTCCTATCGCTTGTTACTTGGGAGAAGAGACCAACCCCCACCTTGCTACAACCTCCTTTCAGGTAGTTGTAGAGAGCAATAAGGTCTCCCCTTCAGCCTCCTCTTCTCCAGGCTAAACAACCCCAGCTCCCTCAGCCGCTCCTCATAAGACTTGTGCTCTAGACCCTTCACCAACTTTGTTGCCTTTCTTTGGACACGCTCTAGTACCTCGATGTCCTTCTTGTAGTGAGGGGCCCAAAACTGAACACAGTACGCGAGGTGTGGCCTCACCAGTGCCGAGTACAGGGGCACGATCACCTCCCTGGTCCTGCTGGCCACACTATTGCTGATACAAGCCGGGATGCCATTGGCCCTCTTGGCCACCTGGGCACACTGCTGGCTCATGTTCAGGCGGCTGTCAACCAACACCCCCAGGTCCTTTTCAGCCAGACAGCTCTCCAGCCACTCCTCCCCCAGCCTGTAGCGTTGCATGGGGTTGTTATGACTGAAGTGCAGGACCCGGCACTGAGCCTTGTTGAACCTCATACAGTTGGCCCCAGCCCAACAATCCAGCCTGTCCAGGTCCCTCTGTAGGGCCTTCCTACCCTCTAGCAGATCGACACTTCCACCTAACTATGTGTCTACCTATTTGCTGAATATTAAGTGTATATATACACACGCACACACACACAAACACGCACACAGTTGGCATGTCATAAGTTTTATATTACCAACCTTATTTTGCAAAGACCAAGCTCACTAATACCTGAAGTCAAACCTAAGACTTCAGTATTAAAAATCAAGAGTATCACCTAGATGACTTGCACCCATTAGTCTCAAGACAGACAGAATGTTTACCGATAGTGCTCCCCCTCCATGAATTAGTGACCATGAATGAGGAAGGAGACAGGCAATTAAATGACAAGGCAAACAGTATAAAAAGCTAAAGCATTTCGATTTTGGAGGGTGGGTGCTTGTAGATCTTTGATCTAAAAAGAGATATTAAAAGAATTAAAAGACTACTATTTTTTCTCAGAAGGTGCAATATATTCTATTAAAATAGCTCTTATATAGGAATACCAGATGTGATACTATACAGAGAATATAAACATCTCAACAGAATTAGTAAGTTTTTTTTCTTGCATATTTCAATAATTAAGACTGTAAAAGCCATCTACTGATAACACTTTGAACAGAACGAAAGTTAAAAACATAGTACTAAGAAGTTTAGCATGCATCAAAAGCAGGTAGAAGCACATAAGTTTATCAGCTTTGATCTTGCATCCCTTGAGCCTTTCATGAAGTCTCTGGTATTTGAACACAAGGCAAGATGAGCCCGGCTGCTAACAGTTATTCACAAAAGCAATGGGCTCTGTTGGCCTTTTCAGAAGTGTACGAAGGATCTGAACAACATTATTTAGTTCTTTGTACCCAAACCATCTCTTTAGGATGAGGAAATGCTCTCTTAGGGTCTACTGCATTTCCTGAGTCACACAGAAGGACAATATTGCTCATTAACTCATTGTGATAGGGTTTTAAAATGCTACACTGGAAGGGGGCATGCCAACAAGAGCATTCTGTGCTCATCCACTTTTCAATTCTATTACTAGATGAACTTCACAAATTTACGTCCGCACAGATTTCTATATTTGGTCTATACACACTTTGTATACAATTTTCTTTCTGTTCCACTCTTCCTGTTCCTTTAAAAGCCACAACACTGAAGCGGATTTTCATAAAACTTAGCCGATATGAAAGAGGATGCTTCATGCCTACTAAAAAACCCCAATGGGTATCTATGAACCATACATTAGTGTATTCATTCCCATTTCATGCTGCAGCAACAACTTTGCCTCGCTAGTTCCAACTGTTCCGTGCTCCGTCCCTTGTATCTAATGAAGATCAAAAGCAAAAAATGCAGAGAATACCGAGAATACTGTGCAGGCCACCGTGGACACTTCAACGCTTTTGCAGCATGTCACAGGGCCAGGTAGCATGAACTGCTGACATCACCTGCCAGTATTTTCCTAAATTCTCACTGTAACCAAACCTTTCTTCACAAGGATGATGTGGCCTTTTATTCTACTGCCCAAGCTTCTTAAGGCTTGGCATTCCCTTCACAAACAACTTCAATGGCTTGTGCACATTTATTAACTTTTTGCCAAGAAGAGTCCGTGCAACATGAAATCACCAGGCTGGCAATATCTCCCAAGTCATTCCACAAAGCTGAAAAAGGGCTGTTTACTTTCACAACATTCCATCTTAAAATACCAAGCCTGGTATTTTTAAAAAACACATTCAAAATTAGTATTGACTCATTGCCATGCCACAGAAAATACTAATTAAAACCATTAATTACAACCATTCTGTCATTCTGTGAAAACAATTTCAAGTTGTCTTTAAAATGGTAGCTTCATTGTGGTAAAGCCTGAAGACTTAAACAAATCGTTGCCACAGTAAGAAACATTTGATAAGTTAGTCAGATAAACGGTGTAACAGAAAAACAGTTTTCAAAAGTTAGATTTAAGTTTAAAAAAACAAAAAACAAAAAAAAACCCCAAAACCAAAAACCAAACCACAAATCTTTTAAGTAGAAATGTTATAATTTTTTTCCCCTTAGAATAAAAAGGTGTATTAATGCTGATGCCTACAGCGTAACTCAGAGAAAGTCACTGGAAGAGCTACTGAGATTTGCCTTTATACAGTGAAAAGCTATTAGGAAATATTAGAGTGATTGAGAAAATATTTTCATATAGTAATAACTGAAAATGAAGAACTGGTACATGTTAAGTTAGTCTTTAGAGCACCATCAAATAGTCTGTGAAACACAGTGCTCCCCAGAAAACAATTTAAAACTCAAAGGGACTGGTCACTTATTTGTGAATCAAAACAAATAGGCATACATAAGTAACAAACTTGCCAGCTACGGATCTGGTCATTCCAGAGCAATTTTTTCAAGTGAAATGGGATACAGCTTATCTAAGCTAAGAGGAAAAACTGATTTCACAATAACGTATGGTACCTGCAACATCTTCTGGATCCGTTACAACAATGTGTGCATTTAACTCCTGTAACTTATGATGCAAGTCTTCTAACTTCTTATTTGATTTTTTCAAAATGTTGTCCACATATGCCAAGTTCTTTTTATCCGTTGTGACCTTCCTGAGGTTCTCTGCTCCCTCCTTGATTTTAAGTTCCTTCCTTATTTCCCGCTTGATTTGGTCCTTTGCTTCATCCAGCTTCTGCTGTACCATTGTATCTGGAAAGTCCAACTTTTGGCCAGTGCTCACATTCTCAGAGGCTAGAAGACTTTTGGCGTCCCCCTAGAAAGAAAAACAGTAATGTAACTACTGGGAAACACTGTTTCTTGACAACACATGCTGCACGCTTAAAAAATGAGTAGGCTTTAGGCCTCTGCATATTACAACTTTGTAAGACCATTTACTAACCATGGGTCTACATTCATGTTGCCCTAAAGCAACAATCTCACAAGACATTACATGTTCACTGGAGTTATATTTTACAACAGATTTATTTTAAATTTAGTGACATCTGTACTATGCCTATTTTTAACACCAAGAGATTTAAATACTTCTGGATTTGTCATGGCTGCTTGCCTGGCAGTTATATGCCTCAGAGCTAATGACTCACATTTGTAATTTTCTAGATTTAATTGCGTGTTTTAATAGACCAAATGGATATAGGAAATAAGACTAACTTCTAACAATTATTATCTATGATGAATTTTTATACATTCATTAGAAAAGATTCTTTTTAAAGATTGTTAAAAAAAAAGTTAAAAAAAAAACAACTTAGTGATGTTTGCAAATGTTTAAAGAAATATTGGCATCTTTATAAAGTTTTGTCAAGATGTTGCTGGAAAATAAATTTGCTAGGTTTATTTTTTTTAAAATACCTCAAGTAAAGGCTTTCACTTTATGAAATAATAATAATAAAAATCTTACTTTCTTGTGCAGGCAAGCTAGGCTGAAAAAAAAAAAACCAAAAACCCAACCAAACAAAAACCCCCCAAAAAACAACTGTTGCAGTCACAAATAGGAGCTGGTGTAGTAAGGGAGCAGGGGATGAAAAGTCTGCAGATCACCAGTACATATGAGGTCATGCTTGTGCCTAGTATATGTTTACGTATCATTGAGAAGCGAGAGTAGAAAGAGCATGTTATAGAACCTACATAAATAAAGTACAAATACAATTCATTACATACATAACACTTCCTGTGTGTCTTATACATGGACCCTGAACAATGAGTAGACACTAGGTCCTACCCAAGAAGTTTTAGCTCGAGCTAAGTGAGTGAAGATCAAAGAAGGGCTCTCCTGAACTTTGAATCTGACCCAGTTGTAATTCAGGATGTATTTAGTAAGTGTGTGACCTGATCCGTATGTACCTACCCAAAGACCAAAATTCCAGTAAATTTTCTTAAACACAATGAAGAAATTGCCTAGACTTATGAAATATTTGGGTGGAAAGTAAGGTATTTGAAGGGATGATTAAAAATTCCGAAGTTTTGGGTGTATCTTGGGTGTAAAATCAGTTGTCATCACTATTTGCTGTTGGAAACACCAACAATACAGCAGAGGAAACCGTGGAAGAAAACATTCGGGAAGGAGTTCAAGCAGCACAGCGTTGGGCTAGCAAACTGTAAGAACTTCCCAGAACAGATGATCTCTAGATATAGTCCACAGTGACTTGTTTGTTTTCAAAAGAATTTGGCGAAATGAGGATCATGAAGGTTGTGCCTGGGCCATACACGCCAACAGATAATGCTGGTCAAACTATTTCAATCTGTGCACACTCCAGTGATACTGCCGTCCATAAGCAAGATCCAATCTACTAGTCCTCAACTATAATTTTACAAGTTTACTAAATCATCTTTAAACCCCTCTTATTAATACATTTCTACCCATAGCTGCTACTTTTAGTACAAAAAGCTAGCAACTCAAAGATTCTTAAATATTAAAAGTAGCCGGAATCACCATCTTGCCACAGAATTTGTCCATCAGTGAAAAAGACAACAAACAAGCAATTTAGAAACGACAAACTGAGTAAGAAACGAAAGGGGAAAAAAATAATGCAAATTTATACTTGAAGTGCACTTGTGATTCCTGTAAGTGCAGATTAAAATAAATAATTTATTGTGCATACGTAGAGAGGCTATTAATAGTTGCACTGGGAAATACATGACATTGTTTCCATATATAGGCGTATAAAAAGAGTCAACTTTTTTATTTTAAGGATTAATCAATAGTGATGAGCAACTGGTACAAAGGTTCATATCCTTAATGAAGGAAACCAACCACCACCTGTTGAGTGTTTTGAGAAACAACTAAAACTGAAAATAAATTGATATAGTAATAAGTATATTCAAATTAGATTCAGATCTCCAATTTCCTTGTTTGTCTAACAGAAAAATTTAGGATGTAAAAAAAGAGCCTCGAGATTAGTATACTATTTAGCCTTTAAAAACAGAGATCAAAACAGTGTTTGTAAATAAAAAGTGTGTATTTTTAAAACCATAATCCTTTGCACTTATTCTGCAAACTTCCTAGAAATAAACTCACCATCTACCTCCTTCAAAGCATGATATTACACTTTTCAAAGTTCACAGGAGAAAGACAAGTGGTAAATGTAAAAAAAAAAAAAAAACCCAAACCCCAGAACAAAACAAAAAAACAACCAACCCCAAAACCAAAAGAAAACCTTTATTCCCTACTCCAATAGCACATGAAGTATGCTAAAATTACGCCAAGAATGTACACTTCTCAAACAGAACAAAGTAATTAAAATATAAATAATTCAGAAATATTCTTGACTAGGGTTTCCCAAAGGGACTTCAGTTAATTGTTTATCTATTGAACAATAATGTATTTTGTTACAGGGGAGTTTTTTATCCCTCTACAAGCCCTACATCCCACCTGTTAAAAGGATGTTATGTTCTTCCATAAACAGGTTTTTGGAGCCCTTGTTCCAGCTACAGTCTAACAAGTCTTCAATTAAATTAGATCTCCATGATCATTAGTAATTTGCACTCCAAATTTCCAGTAATTAAGTTAAAGTTCTCCTCAATTTGAGCAGTCTCAGCAGCATCTTTGTCCCTGGACTTAGGGGTTTCAGAATACAGAGTCATCTTCTTCAGTCTGCTTCCGAGACAGCTAAGAGTTCAATAGTGTGGATGCTGGAAGCTGGTCACATTGCCTATGCATTTAAGCATTCAGCTTTAAATCCCTCCAAAAGCCACAGGTGATACTCCTTCTGTCTCTCTTGTCATCCAGAGTTAATTATACTTTTGAACTAAAAGTATCCTGTCACCTAGCCAGCTAGACGTGTCACCTGGCACAAAGGTCGCTGTGAAATAAGCAGTCTTCCAAGGAGGCAACCGTGCACTCAGTGACCCTGAAGGTCATTGTGAATGCAGAGCAAGAGCATGTTCTGCAAGCCAAGTTGCTCTGCTCCTGTGCTGACACGTTTTGCTGCTGGGATGCAACGAAGGTTTGAGACGGATCCTCATACCGGAGAGATGAGCAGCCTCAGCAACGTTCCACTTGAAAATGGAGATAATGCCAAGATGGACACAACTGGGCAGAACGCCTAATAGCTGAGTAAGAGAAGTGAGGTAGGATTTTTTTCTTTAAGAAAAGCACCTCCCCAAATGCCAAACTCAAACTCTACTTTTAAACTGAGAAGTGACTTAAAACACAGGATACTCCAGCTTTATTTGATGACAACCTATTACAAGTCTCTTGTTAGAGCTGAATATTCTTTCAAAAAATTCTTTTCCCCATTTGGATAAACTCCCTCCCAGGTTGAGCCTCACATCCATTAGGACATAAGTGTCCTGTCCCCTCAACCTGAAAATTAAGTATGTCAAAAGAAACAACGGTTGGAGGCGGGGGCCAGGTGCTTTCCTTCGCAGTGCTCAAGCAGGCAGGGTGCAAAGGCAGAAGAAATCATTCATGTTCTCTACACCAAGAAACCATCGATGGATTTTGCACAGCCACTTCCTTTACTCTCCCTCCCAGAGTCATTTAACATAAAATATCTTAAGAGTGGAAATCCTCTGAAGCCGATAATGACTAAACCACTCCTGCTGGCAAAACAGAGAACAGGCCTCACTGCTTTAAAATCTAAGAGAAAAGAATGGGCAGCCAGTTACTGATTCTCAGTTCCTTTTTTTAATTCTTGGTAGCGTTTTGACTGCTGGTTAAAAGAGAGGAGCCGACCTTTGTTGGGTGGTCCCAGGACTGGCCCGCTCGGCAGAGCATCCTCCTCTCCCTTGCGCCCCAGCAGCCTGCCGGTGACCTACTTCTTTGCCCCAGCAGCAGCAAAGGGTAGCAGGCACCCGGTGCTGCTCCTAACAACCTGCTTCTGGCCTGTGTAGAAAGCAATTAGAGGCAGTGGTGCGTCCTTTTTTGCAATGGGAAAATACATGTTTAGGAGCCAGACTGGAGATTTCTGAAACATTTCAGCATGTAATGAAACTGAAGCCATTTTTACTACAATAACCTATCACGGACCACAAATTAGATACTACTGCTTAAAAGAAAAAAAAAAAAAAAGAAAAAGGAACCCACATATATAGCTTTCCTACTGCAGTGGCCTAATGACTCAACCTCACTTTGATTGCTGGCTCAAAGACTATCTATTTACACAGATGAATTCAAAATGCCAGCCTTCAATTTCTGTACTCCTGGGAAATGTTTTAAGTATAGTTGCTGAAAATAATGGGTAGCGGTCTGAGCATGTCTTTTAATAATACACAGAGCCTATTCTGGCTGATGTGGTGAAAGAGAGTAGTAATGTTGTTTATGAAAACCCATAGGGGCCCTGCACTTTTTCCCCAGGTCAATTCTTAACTAAATCATCGGTGAAGCAGGTGTCTTGCCAAACTGCATTTACCACCCAAACTCCCACTTGAATAAAACATCTAAATTGCTGAAAGATGGAAATGGTACTGCTGAATAGAGGAGAGTACCATGAAGCTGAACATATCAGAGAATCTGCTTAAGTTGTGTAAACTGACTGACTTACAATTCAAAATGAGATTCTTAAATCGCCACCTCTTAGAAGAAAAAGGTAACGCTAAAATCCTGGGCATTAGTAACTCCCAAAGACTTGCTCCTAAGAGCACAGTACAGATGCACTGCATTATACCATGTATTCACCACAGAGAATATCGAATAGGGCAAGAATTCAGATTGCCGACTTCTGGTAGGAATTGTTATAGAAAGGTAAGTGGAGCCTTAAACTACAGCATGCTTAACAGCTGATGAGTACTCATGCACAATATTATTTACACTT